CGACTTCATCTAAGTCTAATCACCTCCCACACACTCCGTCTCCAAATACCATTATATTGGAGGTCAGAGCTTCAGTATAGGAATTTGGAGGCCAGGCGTTACACAGTTTAGAGCACCACTCATTTCTCTAGACTCAAGGGTTTTTTTGTTTGTTTGTTTTTGTTTTAGTTTTTTGAGACATGTCTCTGTCACCCAGGCTGGAATCCAGTGGCATACTCATGGCTCACTGCAACATCAAACTCCTGGGTTCAGGAGATCCTCCTGCTTCAGACTCCTGAGTAGCTAGAACTATAGGTGCATGCCACCCCGCCCAGCTAATTTTTTTATTTTTATTTTTTGTAGAGACAGGGTCTAGCTATATTTCCCAGGCTGGTCTTGAACCCCTAACGTCAATTGATTCTCCCACCTTGGTCTCCCAAGGATTGGTTTCCTGGATTACAAGTGTGAGCCATTGTGTCCAGCCAGGATTCGTGTTTCTATTTCTTTTTTTTTTTTTCTTTTTTTTGAGATGGGGTCTTGTTCTGTCACCCAGGCTGGAGTGCAGTGGTGCGATCTCGGTTCACTGCAACCTCTGCCTCCCGGGTTCAAGCAATTCTCCTGCCTCGGCCTCCTGAGTAGCTGGGGTTATATGCGCATGCTGCCACACCTGGCTATTTTTTTTTTTTTTTTTTTTTGTATTTTAGTAGAGACGGGGTTTCACTTATGTTGCCCAGACTGATCGCAAACTCCTGAGCTCAGGCAGTCTGCCCGCCTCGGCCTCCGGAAGTACTGGGATTACAGATGTGAGCCACCATGCCGGCCCCACGTTTCTTTTTCATGCTTTTTGTTTGTTTCAGAGGCACCGTCTTGCTCTCACCCTGGCTGGAGTGCAGTGGCGTGATGGTGGCACACTGCAGTGTCGAACTACTGGGTTCAAGCCATCTTCTTGCCTCATCTTCCTGAGTAGCTGGTACTATGGGTGTGCATCACCACGCCGAATTTTTTTGTTTGTTTGTTTGAGATGGGGTTTCACTCTGTTGCCTAGGCTGGAGTGCAGTGGCATGATCTCAGCTCGCTGCAACCTCCCCCTGCCAAACTCAAGCAGTTCTCCTACCTCAGCCTCCCAAGTAGCTGGGATTACAGGTTCCCACCTGCTACCGCACCCAGTTAATTTTTGTATTTTTAGTATAGATATTCCTCACTACGTTGCCCAGGCCAGTCTCAAACTCCTGACCTTAAGCGATCCACTGGCCTTGACCTTCCAAAGTCCTGGAATTACAGGTATGAGCCACCATGCCCGGCCTTGAAGTTCATTTTTTTAATAGCTCTTTGAGTATCTGTGGGAGGTAAACTCTCTTAGTCTTTGAATGTGTAAAAATTGTTTTATCCCATCCTTACTTTTTTTTTTTTTTTAAAGAGAGTCTTGCTCTGTTTCCTAGACTGGAGTGCAGTGGGTTGGTCATAGCTCACTGTAACTTTGGAACTCATGGGCTCAAGCAATCCTCTAGCCTCAGCCTCCCGAGTAAGTGGGATCACAGATACGTGCCACCATGCCCAACTAATTTTTTTCAGTTTTTTGTAGAGATGGGGTCTCACCAAGTTTGCTCAGGCTGGTCTCAAATTTCTGGCCTCCAGCGATTGTCCCGCTTTGGGTTCCCAAAGTGGTGGGATTATAGGCATGAACCACTGTAGCCAGCCCCTGCCTTTACTCTTGAAAAATAAGGGATCATAGAATTTGAAGTTTACGATTATTTTTTCTCTACTACTACTCTATTTTTTCTATTTAATTTATTTTTTACTCTAATTTATTTTTTTACTCTAATTTTTTTTACTCTAATTTATTTTTTACTCTATAGATTTACTCTAATCTATTTTTTCTATTTGCTCTATTTTTCTATTTACTCTAATTTTTTCTATTTTTTCTATTTACTCTATTTACTCTATTTTTTCTGCTATTAAATTATTTCTACTATTATTTACTCTGTTTTTTCTACTACTATATTTTTTCTCTACTAGTAATAAAAGATCATATTTTATTACTTTGGTGTTAATTGCTTCTTATGAAGAGTCTTTTTTTTAGGAGACAGTGTCTTGCTCTATTGCCTAGGCTGGAGTACAGTGGCATGATCTTGGCCTACTGCAACCACCGCCTCCAGGGTTCAGGTGATTCTCTCACCTCAACCTCCTGAATAGCTGAGATTACAGGTGCATGCCACCACACCAAGCTGATTTTTATATTTTTAGTAGAGACAGCATTTTGCCATGTTGACCAAGCTGGTCTCGAACTCCTGACTTCAAGTGATCCGCCCTCCTCAGCCTCCCAAAGTGCTGGGATTACAGGTGTGAGCCACCACGCCCAGCCTGAAGAGTCTATTTTTATGCTTGTTTTACCTCTGGTAGTTTTTGCAGTTTTAATGTTTTACCTTATGACATATTTATGTGTGGTTTTATTTTTACTACTGTTCAGTAGACAGTATAGTTTCACCACACCCTTGCTGGCTTGAATGGACACCTGTTTTGTTTTGTTTTGTTTTTTAATTAATTTATTCTTTTGAGACAGAGTTTTTGCTCTTGTCTCCCAACTTGGAGTTCAATGGCACGATCTCAGCTAACTGCAACCTCTGCTTCCCAGGTTGAAGCAATTCTCCTGCCTCGGCCTCCTAAGTAGCTGGGATTACAGGCGCCTGCCACGACACCTGGCTAATTCTTCGTATTTTTAGTAGAGGCAGGGTTTCGCCATGTTGACCGGGCTGGTCTCAACTCCTGACCTTGAGTGGCCCACCTGCCTTGGCCTCCCAAAGTGCTGAGATTACAGGCATGACACCCAGCCATCTGTTTTATTTGTTAAAATCTTTATTGCTACAGGCTGGGCTTGGTGGTTCACAGCTGTAATCCCAGCACTTTGGGAAGCCAAGGCAGAAAGAATGCTTGAGACCAGGATATCCAGACCAGCCTGGACAACATAGTGAGACCCTGTCCCTACAAAAATTGTTTAAAAATTTAGCTAGGCATGGTGGTACATGCCTGTAGTCCCAGCTACTCTGAGGCTGAGGCAGAAGGATTGCTTGAGCCCAGGGGTTCAAGGCTGCAGTGAGCCATGATCGTGCAGCTGCTCTCCAGCGGGGATGACAGAGAGAGACTCTGGCTCAAAAAAAAAAAAAAAAGACTACAACCTCTGTCTACTGGGTTCAAGCTATTCTCCTGCCTCAGCCTTCCAAGTAGCTGGGATTACAGGTGCCTGCCACCACACCTGGCAGATTTTTATATTTTTAGTAGAAATGGGGTTTCACCACATTGGCAGGGCTGGTCTCGAACTCCTGACCTCAAGTGATCCATCTTCCTCAGCCTCTCAAAGTGCTGGGATTACAGGTGTGAGCCACCGCTCCCAGCCCTCAAAGAAATCTTTATTGATATATAATTAAAATCTCTCCATTTTAGTATATAGTTCAGTGAGTTTTGACAAATGCATATATCCAGGTGACTACCACCACAGTCAATATATAGAGCATAACTTAGCCTGGAAAGGTTCCCTCATGTCACTTAACAGTTAATCTACCCACTCCCTCGTTGGTACCCACCTTTTCTCTTTCCGTAATAGACATAGATTTTTTTTAATTTATTCTTTTGTCCCCATTACTCTCATATGAGTCCATTTCCCAAATATTTCTGTTTCCTATCCCCAGAGTTCAATAGTTCTGCAGCTTTAGCCCCATCACTAACTTCTGTGTTTCTGTTCCATCGCTGGTCCATGGAGATGTAATGTCTTGGCTTTAACACCATGATACCTCTTTTTGAAGGAAGAGAGGGATGGATTTCAAAAATACAAGTCTACTACTCACGTCTGCTACCCAGATTTAACATATGTTCATGTTTTGCCTTGTTTGCTTTAAATATCTTCAAATAAAAGAAAAAAAAGTTATATGTAACTCAAGTTCAAGTTCCTTTTTATTCTCCCTTACCCAGAAATAGTCACTGTCCTGAAGTTGCTGAGGTCATTCTTATGCATATTGTAATTGTAATTTTTTTTTTTTTTGAGACAATCTCTCTCTGTCGCACACGGTGGAGTGCAGTGGCGTGAGTGCAACCTCTGTCTCCCGGGTTCTTGTGATTTTCCTGCCTTAGCTTCCCGACTAGCTGGGATATCAGGCGCCCGTCACCACACTCTGGTAATTTTTGTATTTTTATTATTTATTTATTATTATTTTTAAAATTTTTAGTAGAGACAGGGTTTCACCTTGTTGGCCAGGATGGTCTCAATCTCCAGACCTCGTGATCCCCCCACCTCAGCCTCCCAAAGTGCTGGGATTACAGGTGTGAGCCACTGCGCCTGGCCATGTGTGCGTGTGTGGGGGTGTTTTTTTTTTTTTTTTTTTTTGAGATGGAGTCTCGCTCTGTTGCCCAGGCTGGAGTGCAGTGGCGCAATCTCGGCTCACTGCAAGCTCCGCCTCCTGGGTTCATGCCATTCTCCTGCCTCAGCCTCCTGAGTAGCTGGGACTACAGATGCCTGCCACCACGCCCGGCTAATTTTTATATTTTTTGTAGAGCTGGGGTTTCACCATGTTGGTCAGGCTGGTCTCGAACTCCTGACCTCGTGACCTTCCCGCCTCGGCCTCCCAAAGTTCTAGGATTACAGGCATGAGCCATTGCGTCTGGCTGAAACATAATTCATTTTCTGATTTGCCTTTCCCTGATTATTAGTGAGGTTGAGCGTCTTCTGTGTTTTCTTTTTTGTGAATTGCCTGTTAATACCCTTAACTCATTTCTTTGTTAACATATTTGTATCAAGATGTGAATTCTCTGTCTGTACTTTGTCTGTTTAATATGTGTATTTTAAAAATATGTTTTAATGACACACGTTTTGAGTTTTTGTGGGGTTTGTTTTTTTTTTTTTGACCTACTTCCTTGGATATGTTTTCTTAAGGAATGTTTTCAGCATAAGCTTCAGATGTTCCCTGGCCAGATACATGGCAAGAGTTTTGATACTCCCTCTTTCTTACTGTTCCTCTTTGCTTCCTTTTCAGACCTTTTGAAACAGATGGTCACCATGTTTAGATATTAGCAGTCCCGTATGTGCAGGTCTGCGTTTGAAAATGGCAGAGGGAAACAGCAATGAAGAGGTGATTCACTTGAACAACTTTCACTGCCATCGGGGACAAGGTAAGTTGTTTGCTCTCACTTTGTCTCTTTCCCTGTGGCTTTTTATTTTAGTATCACAGCTCTGTCTTTTGAAATGATCCTATTTTGTACCATTTAGAATCCAGGGACATTTCATTTTTAGATATAAAAAGACTAGACTAGAATTATATCAGATAATGATATTGCTGGCATGAATGAAGTGTAAGACTCATTCATTACAACGAGATCAATAAGCTGTTAGTTTGCTGGCAAGACACTGTTAATGTGCAGTCATTGAGTCTTAAGAGAGAGTGTCAGCATCAGTTTTTGAAGGCGTGGTGATTATAAAGGAGTGCTCCACTAGGCCTTTATGACCTGAAATACTGCAGGTGATGCTGAACCAGTCTTGTCCTCCCATGATCCTTAATTTCCTTTTTGCCAGAATATTCTGGCTTAACCTTGAGGGGAATTTTGGAACATGTATTTTTTTGTTCTACAGTTTTGTTTTGTTTTGTTTTTTCTTTTCTTTTTTTGAGACGGAATTTCACTCGTTACCCGGCTGAAGTGCAATGGCGTAATCTTGGCTCATCACAACCTCCGCCTCCTCTGTTCAAGCGATTCTCCTGCCTCAGCCTCCCGAGTAGCTGGAATTACAGTCATGTGCCACTACGCCCTGCTAATTTTGTATTTTTAGTAGAGATGGGGTTTCTCCATATTGGTCAGGCTGGTCTTGATCTCCCGACCTCAGGTGATCCACCCGCCTCAGCCTCCCAAAGTGCTGGGATTACAGGCATGAATCACTGCGCCCGGCCTGTTCTACAGTTATTAAAGTTTTGGGGAATTTTATTGATTTTTAAAGGGAATAGTGCTTGCTATTCTATAACATTCTTAAATGTGTATGAAATTTCCTGTTAAGTTCGAATTCACATTTACACTTGGGCTAAAAGGAAAAAATTCATGCTGAGGTGTAGAACCCTGATGTTCATTTTTTGCAATTATAAATTCCATGGGAGAGGTTATACTGGTTTTGTTTTCTCCCGTTGATAATATTTTGTGTTTACAAAGATGATTTTTCTAGTAGAGAGTAAATTACATTTGACTTTAGAAAAATGACTCCCCCAGGCCAGGCGTGGTGGCTCACACCTGTAATCCCAGCGCTTTGGGAGGCCGAGGCTGGTGGATCACGAGGTCAGGAGTTCAAGACCAGCCTGACCAACATGGTGAAACCCTGTCTCTACTAAAAAATACAAAAATTAGCTGGGCGTGGTGGTGCATACGTGTAATTCCAGCTACTTGGGAGGCTGAGGCAGGAGAATCGCTTGAACCTGGGTGGCAGAGGTTGTAGTGAGCCAAGATTGCGCCACTGCACTCCAGCCTGGGCGACAGAGCAAAGATTCCGTCTCAAAAAAAAAAAAAAAAGAAGAAGAAAAACGACTCCACCAAAACTTAAGTACAAATAGCCTACTGTTGATTGGAAGCCTTACTGATAACAGTCAACACATGTGTTATATATTGTATGTTTTGTATACTGTATTCTTATAATAAAGTGAACTACAGAAAAGAAGTGTTATTAAGAAAATCATAAGGAAGAGGAAGAGAATATAGTTGCTATTCCTTAAGTGGAAGTGGACCATTCTGAAGGTCTTCATCTTTATTATCCTCACATTGAGTAGGCTGGAGAGGAGGTGAAAGAAGAGGGGTTGGTCCTTGTATTAGTTGGTTCTCCACTGGCTGTAAAGAAATGCCCAAGACTGGGTAATTTATAAATAAAGAGAAGAGGTTTAATTGGTTCACAATTCTGTAGGCTGTATAGGAAACATAGTGGCCTCTGCTTCTGGGGAGATCTTAGGAAACTTATAATCATGACAGAAGGAGAAGGGGAAGCAGGCTTGTCTCACATGGCTGGAGCAGGAATAAGAGGGATTGGGGAAGAGGTGCCACACACTTTTAAACAACCAGATCTCACAAGAACTCACTGTTGCAACCAGAGGGGATGGTGCTAAATCATTTATGAAATACCACCCCCATGATCCTATTACCTCCCACCAGGCCCCATCTCCAACATTGGGGATTACAGTTGAATATGAAATTTGGAGAGGGACACAGATCCAAACCATACTATTCTGCCCCAGCGCCTCCCAAATGTCTTGTCCTTCTCACATTGCTAAATACAATTATGCCTTCCCAACAGTCCCCAAAGTCTTAACTCATTCCAGCATTAACTCAGAAGTTCAGTCTTATCTGAGACAAGTCTAATCCCTTCCACCTATGAGCCTGTAAAGTCAAAAATAAGTTAGTTATTCCCAAGATACAATTGGGGGTACATACATTGAGTATATGCTCCTGTTCCAAAAGGGAGAAATTGGCCAAAAGAAAGGCGCGAGAGGTCCCACACAAGTTCATAACCCAGTAGGGCAGTCATTAAATCTTAAAGGTCCAAAATAATCTCCTTTGACTCCACATCTCACATTCAGGGCACACTGGTGCAAGGGATAGGCTCCTGAAAGCCTTGTGCAGTTCTGCTGTTTTAGGAGTAACACAAGTGGAAGAAAATCTGCAAATAAGTGGACCCACACTGTTCAAATCAGTGTTGCTCAAGAGTCAACTGTGTATTTGGCTTTCAGAGCATTTAAAATTGAGCAAATTTTATTGGGTAAATAAGTCAAGAGTAATAAAATTGCTCAAGCTATGCAAATTATGAGTACAAAAGAAGGACTAATTTTCAGGGTTTTATTAATAGTGTATTCTAACTTGGTAGTGATTGTAACCATAATTTATTGGATTCAGGCAATTTTTAATCTTAGTTATAACTTGTATTTATGATCATTTCAAAATTTTCTGTACATGTATATCCAATTAATGTTGTAGTTGTTTTTTGTTTTTTAATTGGATCTTAAATATACTTGAACAGTTTCTTTAAGAACAACTAATTCCTTTTGGAAAATTACTGACTTTGGAGATGTGTTTTGTTAGACGAGTATGTTTACTCTGCACCCATCCTGAGAACTTTTTTCAGGTGTATAAAGTTTTGTTTTTATTAGCTGCATTAATTTTTCTTTTCTTTAAACAAGAGAGGGTCTCACAATGTTGCCTGGCAAAGCTAGTCTTGAACTGCTGGGCTCAAGTGATCCAATTGCCTCTGCCTTACGAAATGCTAGGATTACAGGCATGAACCACTGCTCCTGGCCAACAGTAATAATTTTTATTATGCATCAACCTCTGTAGTTTTTTTTTTGAAGTGTATAGTTCAGTAAGTTTTGACAAATGAATATACCATCTCAATTACGATATAGAACATTTTCTATCACTCCAAAAAGATTCCCTTGTGCCTCTTTGTCAGTTCTTACCCCACTCCAGGCCTAAGGAAACTACTAATCTGCTTTTTTTCACTCTGTAATTTCATATAAATGGAATTATACATACTGTATATTTTCTTTGTACCTGAATTCTTTTGTGAAAGGTAATGTTTTAGGCCGGGCGCGGTGGCTCAAGCCTGTAATCCCAGCACTTTGGGAGGCCGAGACGGGCGGATCACGAGGTCAGGAGATCGAGACCATCCTGGCTAACACGGTGAAACCCCGTCTCTACTAAAAAATACAAAAAACTAGCCGGGTGAGGTGGCGGGCGCCTGTAGTCCCAACTACTCGGGAGGCTGAGGCAGGAGAATGGCGTGAACCCGGGAGGCGGAGCTTGCAGTGAGCTGAGATCCGGCCACTGCACTCCAGCCTGGGCGGCAGAGCGACACTCTGTCTCAAAAAAAAAAAAAAAAAAAAAAAGGTAATGTTTTGAGATTCATCCCTGTTGTCGCATATATCAGTAATTCATTCCTTTTTAATTGCTAAGTAGTGTTTTTGCCTACTCATCTATGATTCTATACCTAGTGGAAATAGGCTTAAAAATGAAGGTAAAATAAAGATTTAAAAAGTTTTTGTCAGGAATGAAAAAAGGTACATCATACAAATGGCCACACACATACCCCCCCCCAAAAAAGCTGATATATCTGTGTAATATCTGATAAAATTGATAGAAACTCCAGCCAGAAGCATTGATAGAGTTCATAATGATAAAAGTTTCAGTACACTGGGAAGATAAAATAGTGCTAATCCCTGTATGCTTTGTAACATGATAGAAAAATAAAGCAAAAATTGGCAAATCTAAAAACAGAATTGGACAAATACACCATTATAGTGGGGATTTTTAAGACTTGTTTCAGTAACTGAAAGAGCAAGCACACACACACACTTGTATGAATATAGAAGATTGGAAGAACGCGGTCAAAAATGTAATAAACATAGGTGGGATTCTGCACCCAGTATAAGAAGAAATCACAATGAAAATTAGAAGATTATTTTGAATTACATGATAATGAAAATATAGCCTCTTATATTTATGAGATACATGTAATGCCATGTTTTGAAGAAAACTTGTGGCCTAAGATACATTAGACAAGAAGTAAAAAGCTCAGCCAGGTGCAGTGGCTCATGCTTGTAATCCCAGCACTTTGGAAGGCCAAAGTGGTAGGATAACTTGAGCCTAGGATTTTGAGACCGGCCTGGACAACATGGTGAGATTTCTATCTCTACAAAAAATTAAATATAAGACAATTAGCTGGGTATGGTGGTGTTGGGTTCACCAGGTCCCAGGTACTTCGGATACCAAGATGGGAGGATCACTTGAACCCAGTAGGTCAAGGCTGCGGAGGACTGGGTTCATGCTATTGTACTCCAGCCTGGGCAACAGAGAGTGACCCTGTCGCAAAATAAAACAAAAAACAAAAACAAACCCAGCCTAGCCAACATGGGGAAACCCTGTCTCTACTAAAAGTACAAAAATTAGCTGGGCATGATGTTGCAAGCCTGTAATCCCAGCTAATTTGGAGGCTGAGGCACGAGAATCGCTTGAACCCAGGAGGCAGAGGTTGCAGTGAGCCAATATAACTAGGGCTCAGCAAATTTAAAGAGTTAAGTTAATATTTTAGCCTTGCAGGCCATATGGTTTCAGTTGCAACTATTCAACTATACCATTGTAGCATGAAAGCAACTGTGTTGGTCCACTTTCACACTGCTATGAAGAAATGCCTGAGACTGGGTAATTTATAAAGGAAAGGGGTTTAATTGACTCCCAGTTCCACATTGCTGGGAAGGCCTCTGGAAAATTACTATCATGGCAAAAGACAGAGGAGAAGCAGGCACCTTCTTAGGCAGGATAGAGTGAGTGCAAGCAGGGGAAATGTGAGTGCTTATAAAACCATCAGATACCTCAAGACTCACAATCATGGGAACAGAATGGGGGAAACTGTCCCCATGATCCGATTACCTCCACCTGGTCCCGTTCTTGACACGTGGGGATTATGGGATTACAATTCAAGATGAGATTCTGGATGGGGACACAGCCAAACCATGTCAGAATCTATAGACAGTATATAAATGAATGAGCATGGTTGTGTTCCCATAAGGACGTGAAGCAGCATACTATCCTACGCTGCAGATGGGAGTGTAAATTGGTATAATTTGGAAAATTTGTTTAGTGTTAACTGCCAAAATGGAGCATATGCTTACCCCATGACTCAGCATTTCCACTCCTAGAATGTATGCAACTAAAATGAGTACACCAAAGACTTGCACAAGAGTGTTCATAATAGCATTATCCACGATAGCCTAAACTGCCATGTACTCAAATGTCTATCAACAGAAGAAGGAGTAATTTATGTTGTATTCATATAGTGGATTATATACAACAAAGAATTATAGCAGCATGCAATATGGATGTATCTCAGACATTATTTGCAAGAAAGCCAGACACAGAATATATACTCAAAAACATGCAAAACTTATCTGTGCAATTAGAAATCCTCCCTTTGGGGATGAAGGAGAGCAGAGATTGGGAGAAGCACAGGGAGGCTACTAATGTGCTATAAATATTTCCTGACCTTGTGGTGGTGATTATACACAGATGTCCCTTTTGTGTTAATTCATAGAGCTGTACACTTGATTTGTAGAGCATGCTGTGTTGTTATACTTTGAAAAGCTAATTGGAACCTTACATGTGGTATGTTGTGTGGTATCTTGTCAAACACTGGACTTCATTATAAGGTGATAGGTTCATTCATTCCCTCCCTCCCTCCTTCCTTCTGTCCTTCCTTCCTTTCTTCTTCCTTTCCTTTCCTCCCTTCCTCCCTTACTTCTTCCTTTCCTTTCCTCCCTTCCTCCCTTACTTCCTCCCTTCTTCCTCCCTTCCTCCCTTCTTCCTCCCTTCCCCTCCCTTTTCTTCCCTTCCCTCCCCTTCCTTCCTTTCCTCCTTTCCTCCTCCTCTCCTCTCTCCTTTCCTTCCTTTCCTTCAGTTCCCTCCCTCCTGTCTTTCCTTCCTTTTTTTTTTTTTTTTTTTTTTTGTGTCGATCTCCTGACCTCGTGATCCACCCGTCTCGGCCTCCCAAAGTGCTGGGATTACAGGCTTGAGCCACCCGCGCCCGGCCAGAAAAATTTTTTTAATTAACTGTCGATTTGTAGTGTGTCCTAGGCTACTTGAGAAGCTGAGGTGGAGGAAGTTGCTGAGCCTAGGGAGGTTGAAGCTGCCAGTGAGCTATGATCACACATTGTACTCCAGCCTGTGGTGTGATAGAGCAAGAACCCTGTCCCAGACACACGACGCACACACAACACACAAAACACACCACAAAGAAAAGACGCATTACAGCTTTAATGGAAG